AGTAAGATTTTCTGGTTTAGTCATTTCTGCAAATAAATACATCTTTAAGTTAGAATGTTTTTAGGTCCGACACAGTAAGGCAAAGAAGAAACTTAAGATGTAAAATCATCATACATGTTGTTCCTTAAGGAGGTAAATTTGTGCTTAATTTTGTGTAATAGGCTGTCTTCAAATTTTACAGTTTGCTAATTATTCATGGCTAGTCTAGAAACGCCACCGTGGTGGTGGGCAAAAATCCCTGGGCAATACCCACGTGTGTTCTGGTATAGATATAACCGGTTGTTCCACAATTGGCATGTGAGTGGCAGGATAGTTTGATAAGCCTGTCAAAGGTATGATGGGATCCTGAGCAATGTGCGCCAGATGTCACTTTGGATCAAACTGAGAAGAAACCCACTTTATTGTTACCTGTAGTAAGCAATACTTTTACCTAACATTTTCTATCAGCACTGAATTAAAAATTTTAAAAACATGTTTTTCTTCAATTTCTTCTTTTCTAAGTGCTCCATTATTATTGGAAGTAAAATATGCTTCAGATGGACACAATATTTTGATACCAAAACTTTATTAATATGTCAATATTGTTCTATTTCTTGAATAGAAATTGAATTAATCCTAATATAGTCAAGATTTAAAATGTGTAGGGTTTACTGTGACGAATTTCACCAATGCTGGATGAAGAAGCATGTTCTGTGTTAAATCTTTTGTCCATAGACTAAATGTTTGCTATTTATCTTGTTATATTTTCCTTCCCCCCCTACTCCTTACAGGGAAATAACTGGAATCAGTAAGAATAGCACACCTTGAAAAAGGCACCTTTCAAAGGGACTGTCATGTGTTGAAGATATTTCAAGTTTAGGCTGAAAATGCCATTTTACAGAAATACATTAATTTTAAACCTGAGAATTCAGGGATATGTCAGTTGTCTAGTGTATTATGTAGCTACTGGTTGAATTTGGGCACCAGATTGTGTGAAAATATGTGAAGTGGACTTTCATATCAGTCATATTATCTTGCCCATTTTCTTACTAATATTATCAGTTATGCTGCGAAAAGTTGACTTTCATGGAGAATTTTCATCAGTGGATTGCTTAGATGGATTTTGAGAAATGAAGTGTTTGATTTATCTTGGCTACGCACTTGTCTTTACCTCTTCTTCTTGGAAAAAGCATGGCAAACACCTTTAATAGCATCCTTTCTGTCCTCTCTTCAGGTCAAACCAACTGGGGCTTCCTCATTCTGTAAAAGGTGGCTTTGTAAATCTTCTCAAGGATAGAATCTCTATCATTATTGAGTCCTCCCAGATTAAAAAGAACCAGGTTCTCCTTTCCTAACCATGAATTTATTTTCTTGTTCTATGATAAGAAGCATGGTGGACCTTTTCCATTCTGGGCTCCAGATTTTCTAGTAAGCGTACCTTACGCATTAAAGCAAGAGGAACAACAAACAAGTTGTGGAAATGATATACCTCTTATCTCAGACAACACACATAAACCACTAGTTTCTTTTCAGAAAGAAGGGCCATAAGGATGTATTTCCTGTTACATTAGGAGGGTACGTGCATGCTGCTTGAGAATGTCAATGCAAATTAATTTTTTGATAGCCAGGCCTGCATCTGACGTATGTGATGGTTGCACTTTTGATCATGCAGTGGGTGAAGTGCTGGGTCATAAACATGACATGCCTTGGTCCATAAAAGATTATAATGTCCACCAAGCAAATTAAAATCTCTCAGAAATTTTGCTGCAGCCTTTATTTGATTTTCAACAATGTGAATGCTGCAGTAACAACTTCCCTTCAAATACAGCTGAGTCACCTTTCTAGAGAAAATATAATAGAAATGCTTCCTTTGCCCCACTGTTTTTGATCTGTTTAGTTCACCATGAATGTGAGGTCAATATACCCTGTTCATATGGTTGGAATAAAAAAGAAAGCTGCCAACAGTAGATACATAGGAGTAAAAATATCTCTTCTGATTGTGTAGTTATAGAATTCCTTCTGAAGCCTTTTCAATGTTTCATTTTAGCTACATTTTATTTGTAGATTATTCACAAATTTATCTAGAATCATAGAATGCATGGGAATTGGTTTTGTTTCTTGTAGATAATTGTACACGCAGCTGATTCAAATTTTTCTAGCTGAGTTCTGCTATTATTAGATAAGGTATTTACTCTGGACTGGTCTACAGTTTTTCCATGTGCCCATTTAATCCCTTGAATGCCTTTCAGTTTGTATGAATCCTCAGCCACTCTTTTTAACCATTTCTGATTTCAGAAAAAGATGGGGCTCAGAAAGTCATCCTTGCTGGGTTCCTTAGTGTGCCAATTCAGATAATACAGTACAAATGTCTTAGCTGTTTAGTGACCCCAGTATTATAGCTGTAGGGCCAAACAGAACCAAAAATATTAGAGATACCTTTTATTCTTTTATTTTTATTCAACATTTTAATTACCCACAATCTGACAATATAAAATAGTCTATTAGTTGGACAGATCCTCCTTCTTGCGAAGGCTGTCATTCTGCCTCCATTCCATAAACATACATCATTTGCACGGATTTTCGATTTTTTTTGTCTTCACTATGGACATTGCAGTCTTTTGGGCAAGAAAAAGAAGTGTGGATGTGCTGCCTAACGGAGGCAGGACTTGGAGAGTCTTTCATTAGCAGCGTAGGAACATTGTGCTGGACCATGTATGCGTCCAGACGAGGGAGAAGATAGGTTATCAGGAGGAAGAACATTCAGTCATTTCTACTTGTTCCACAGATTAGCCTTATCTTCTTGTTTCCAGCCTAAACAATAGATTTAGTGTTCTTTGCTGAGAGCATGAAAAACCCAGTGCTGAGCCTGATGGATATGCTTCATGTACTGTAAGAGGACGTTGCTTTCTTGAGAATAAACTCCTTTGAAGTTACTAAGTTGCTCTTATACTGTTGTCTTCAAAGGTGAAAATGCCATGTTATACAGTAGTAACTCTTTCTTGAGGAAATGTATGATAAAAATTCAAGTGTTAAATTTGAAAAATACTAGAAGATGCTTTTTTCACCTACATTGTAACTCAGACCAAGTTTTAAGAAGAAAGCAAAGTAGTTTTCAGAAACAGTTGAAGATAAGAAAGCCTTCCTTTTCTAAAGGCAAATAAATCAATTCAGCTCTGTACCTGGTCTGTCTAAGCTATTCTTGTCCTTTATGATGTTTGATTCTTTAATGAATACAAATGGATGGAATGAAATATTTTTCAGTGTTTGATAGATGAAAAAATGAAGGTAAATTTTTTGTTCCATGTCACCTCTCTTTCTGTCTGTGCTTGTAAAACTTCTGTCACCCCTATTGTGTTGACAGGGATGCTGCTACTGCTGGGATGCCATAGCATCATCTTCCATGTTCCTGCCTTAGTGAATAAATGCATTTTCAGCATCACTAGCAAATGCTGCCTCCTTCTCCAATGGCAATAACAGTGTTGTGCTGATCGTATACTGCTGTGCTTGGTGATGATTTGTCACCACCACCTTCTATGCAGTCCACAGCCCTCAGTTACCGCACTGGCTCATTGTTAGTGTTGCTCCTTCTGTTACATTGCACAACTACTTCTTAATCCATTCAAGACTGAAGCAAAGATTTATGCCTGGTGTTGTTGATAATGGTTAATGTTTTCTAGTCCATCTTTCTTCAGACCTTGTTTAACCTGGGACACTTCCCAATAAAAGTTTCTTCAGTACTCCATAGATGGGTATATTCAGCTCATATAGTAGGAACATTACTGCATTGGGAGAATGATTTTTGATAGATTATGAAATGATCTCTTAATTCTTAAATATATTGCCACTATTATTATTACTCTCTAATTTGAAAGAAAATCTGTTTTGTGGCATTGAATATACATGCTAATGTTTCTAGGCATACCATAAACAAAAAACCCTCTGCATTTTTTACCCTCAATTTTTAGCTTTCCTAGCCTGGTGTTATTAAAAATTAAAATAGGATAATAATTTTGGAAAGGGAAGTGTGAGAGAAATTCCCATGGCTGATTTTTCCAGGGCAAATTGAAGAATTTGTGCTCTTTTTAGCTGAAAGAGTTAAAGCAGAGATGTTGCCACTGTGATTGGGAGAATGAGGAGTCTGAGGCAGAGAAGTTCATGAAGGGCTTGACTGTTGGGTGATAAAACTGAGGAGAACTGGCATTACTCATTGCTTTTTGATTCCTTTTTTTTTTTTTTTTACCTTATTGCTCAAACACTATGCATTATCTGTTGACAAGCTAATGAACCCTTTTAACTCCTCTTTTTGTTTTTGACTGTATAACACCTTCTCTGATACAGGTAGTCTCAATACTTATGTATCAGTATACACGACTTGTTCTGCCATAAACTCATTTCCATACTCATTCTTGTCAATATTAGCCTGGAAACTAACATCTCCTTCTGTATATTAGAAGCATTATAACCTTCATTCTTTAAGAAAAGGATTTAATTTAGAGAGCAGTGAGTGACCATGGGTAGATACATACCATGACCTTTGTTTAACTGTGAAGTAGCTCCCTTGCTCCTCTCTCATTATTGGCCTAACTCCTTCTAGTTTTAAAGTCATGTTGTTTTCCATTAGCTCAGGATCTATCCAGGAATACTTTGTCCTTGCCTGGATTTTCTCTCTTAGTGCTACATGTATTGCCCTTACTTAAGGAACTAAAGAAAACTGTAAAAGCCTAACACAGTCATTGGAAACAGTGTTGAAGTGGGTTGTTTCTGACAAGGAAAATCCTTGATGAGGACTATCTCAGGCATGAAGTATGATCTTTAGAAGCATGGAGAGGACTGGCCTTAGGGAAAAAAGAGCCCCTGTCAAGCACTGAAACTGAGATTCAGATCATAACGCTCATTTTAGAAACTGGAGGATACATGTAGGCTCATTGGTATTACAGACTAATAAATAATGCTTTCAACTTTGACCTTTTTGAGATGTAAGAGAATAGCCTATGTTTTCACATTATATTGTTTCTTTGCAGGAATCAGAGAGTAATAAGTTATGTTCCCTATATTCCTTCCGAAATACCTCTACCTCACCAAACAAGCCCGACGAAGGAGGTCGTGACCGCAGTGAGCTAATGACCAGTGTTAATTTTGGAACACCAGAACGCCGCAAAGGAAGCCTTGCAGATGTGGTGGACACACTGAAGCAGAAGAAACTAGAAGAAATGACCAGGACTGAGCAAGAGGGTATGTGTTGGATAAGACTGATACAGTTTCCCCACCCCCAAACCCTATAATTTTTATGGCATAAAGAATGTGTTGGGTATCAAGAGCCAGAAAATTGCATAATTGGCAAAAGCAAGGATAAAGTTATTCACAGGTTACCATGGCAATGGTAGTTTGAGATCCATTAGGGATTTTAGACAAATATGCCAGGTTTTTTAAAACTTTCTAAATTGTGTTGGTTGTCTGTGAGTCAAAGTGAGGATGTTGGTTTAGGTGAAAACTCAACTCTTACTTGAAAGGTTAAGGTGAATTCTTAACTGGTTGTAGGGTTGTGAGATATATTCTTCAGTGGTATTTGTTTTTTTTTAAAGATATGCTTACTTTAAACAATAGGGATGAATAAAACATAAGCTGGTTTGTTTTGCCTTAGAAATTCTCATTTTCATCACCTTAATGACCCAGCATCTATGGCCAGGAGAATAGGAAACAGTTTTAAGTGTAAAGAGTACCTAGTTCTGACCTTTAGATCTAGAACTGCAGCTGAAGAAATCAATTTTTTTTTTTACAGTCTGCTCAGGTATTGTTACAAGCATTAAAAGAGAGAGACAAAAATGAGGACAAATCTTTGTGCTCTAGGGCAGTTTATGTATTCAGTCTTTACTTAGATACTTTAATTGACTTTACTAGGATTTTGACCTTGATATGAACTAAACAAAATTGGAGAACGAGTTTATCTGTGTATATCTGCACGTGGTCAGGGTCCACTATGAAAATCTCTCCCCATGTCAAGTAGAATGAAGTCTTGGTTGCTTCTGCAACAATACTTTCTCATCTGTGAGCTCATACATGAGCAAACCAGGGAAGATGTGAGAGCAGGAGGCTCTGAACAGATAAATAAGTTTGGAGGCATCTGTGTGGATTCTGTTAGTTATTTCACCAGTGTTTTGTGGGGTTAAAAATAGCCCACCAAGAATACTTGTAACATAGCAGATGCACAAGGCAATAGGACTTTGTGATCTCTTTTTTCTTTGAAGTGTGAATGAGTTAAGAATGATTTAACCTCCTCGATTTCACGGTATGGTCACAGTGCACCTGAAACAGTGCACTTTAGGATCCTTTGGCTCCATGTAGCAATGCAGATTTGAATTAAAATTGATGCTGATACAATCACATGTTTAAATACGGGATAAAATCATGTAGGGATGGAAGTAGGCTTTCAAATTCCTTTGCATAATTGTTAAATGCCAGCACACAGATAAATGTGTTCTATAGGTGTCCTTTCTGAAGCTGGTGAAACATCTCTGAAGAGAGTGTCCCAGATTCTTTACTACCATCTGTCTGTTTTCAGCTGTAAAGATCACTCTTTTAAAAATTGCTTTCTTAGATTTGGTGGTTAGACTAGGAAAACTATTTTAAATGTTACTTTGACAAAGTTGGTTGTTTTTACAGTCAGTAGCAGTCGTTCGACACTCCATGCTAATCAAAGGTCTTGGCTCATACTTTGCTGCAGGAGTATACAAGTTGCTGTTGATTATAGTGACACCACAGCTAAGACTTTTCCAGGAGTATACTGAGTGGTGTGCTAATAAAAATGTGCATCAAAAAGTTTAAACATAGTATCTTACTGTAAAGATTAAAACATTTCATAGCTTATTTTTCTACGAAGTCTTCAGAATTTTCTGCACTTCCTCTGGATTAGTGTACACTGGTTGATTTAAGAGAGGTGTGTGCACAGCAGAGAGGTGCCTCTCGCTGATTCTGAGCCTTCCATGCTGTGTGTTCTCACCAGCTGTGAAATACAGGTCCTTTCTGATCTATAAAAGAATCTTGCCTTTTGTGGGCCACATTATACTGGAAAACTATTCTAAAGTCTGTCTGTAAGTTCAAAGGTAGTTGACTGTATCTTCATGTTAAGTTCTTTTCAGTTCATCCAGCATTTTCTGTAGAAAAAAAAGTCACTCCCATTTTACAGAAAATAATGAACATCTGACTGGTACCATATAAAATAACATGGAAAAGTAATTAATAGAAAGACTGGAAATTCCTCAGGTTCTGGCACTTAGGAAGGTCAATGGTTTTAAAATTGTGTGTAGACTAGAAATACCAAAATTCTTATGACAGATTTGAATACCTATTTCAGTATTCAGAAGTTTATCTGAATTAAAAAGAAGGAAGCTCTCCATACTTGTTTGATTGGAACAAAATAACATTTTTAAAATAACTAATATTTTAAAACTCTGGTCTTTGTTGTGACTGTGGATGCTGCAACTGACTCAGTGCTGAGTCAGTCGGAGAAATGAGGTCTGAGATTATGAGAATGTTTTACCACCTTGTAGTCTTTTAGGTAACCTAATTAACAGCGTAATCACACATGTACCATACGTGATGCTCTTTAACATCTATACTTTAAAATACATTTCTACGGAGTTCTTTTCTTAAAATGGTAGGTAGCCAATGCTCTTCAGGAGCCCTTTGAATAATAAGTCCTGATCTGTCACAAAATTCCTTACCCAAATTGAAAAACACCTGCTGATTTTTTGAGGAAAGAGATAGCATAATATAATTGCTTTAATGAAAGTAAAGGGAAAAATATATGTCTTTCTACTCTATAATACTGTGTCCATCTGTAGGATCTGAATTTGAGCAATATGAGTTGCTGGTGTCAAATACTGAAATATTTTGTGGTACGCTTTCAGATATTAGGTGTCTGTTATGCTTGTATATACTACTTGCGGTCTCTGTTGTACCTCATAACATTGGAAAAGAAATATATACTGAAAGACTTTATCGTGTCTAAATAGATGTATTTAATCAGAGTCCTTTGGCTTCTGAAAATAAGTTGTCTAATGAGAATTTCATCTGAGCAGCTGTGACTGAGGAGGTCAACAGGCATTGCCTAAGAGAATATGGCCCAGCTGGTTAAATCTGGTTGTTGTAGTGATTTAAATGGTCAAGTGCTGCTTGTAATCCAGGACTGTCTGTTTGTATAGTGCTTCAGCATAATGTCCAGCTGTTTTAATCTCTCTTTAGTAATAGTGCTTCAGCCAGTGTTGTGTCTTGTGGATAATACTGGGAACTTGAGTGCCTTGTACAGGACGGAATATACCTTAGGAATGTTTTCAGCATTACTTGTAGTTTGAAAAAAGATTACCAATGTCACAGGACAAACAACATTTTTTTACTGCATGGTCCAGTATTTCCATACTTTGTACATTAAGGCATTTCTGTGTTTTAATTCATAATGATTTGGAAATGAGAAAATTGATGAGAAAATTGTAACTGGGGGGGGAAAAAAAAAGAATGCCACAAATATTTAGAGTTAATTTGAGTATGTAAAGACTTTGCTGACATGTGTTCTCATAAGACAGAAGAGGTCAGAAATGAACAGGTGTCTAATTTAATCAACAACGTTAGACTCTAGGGCCTCTTGGATAACTTCAATATATTCATCTTCTTAGTTTTTCTACAAGCAGAAGTTTTACTGACTTTTTTCTTTGGAATCATCCTCTAGTACAATCAAGCACTAAATCTCTTTACAGCTCAAATGAAGAGTTTATGTTAGATAGTACAGTCAGACTGCTTCTCTCCCTTTCTATCCCCTTCAGTAAAAGACCTTTCTTTCAGAATATTGCTTATATTACTGTTGTGAGACAGATTTACATCGCCTGGGCTGCCTGAATTCTAGGCTGAGAATTGGCTTCCAGACAACTGTCCTACTGTACTTCATCATAAGCCTCCGCGAGTAATAATTAGTAGCACACATCTTGTCTGTAGCTAGGAGAGCAGATTTCCCCCTTTCAGATCTGGAATGCTAGGTTGGCAGGTCAGCTGGCACTTCTGAGCTGGAAACTGGGCATGTCATTTCTGCTAAGTGCTAAGCCCTCATTACTCTGGGCCTGGATTCCTAATTCACTTTTGACCTTGATTCTCAGCGATGTATACAGTATCATTTTTCAACCAAGCTCAGTTCACAATTCTAGCACAAGGTTTTTATAAACTGCTTCCCATTCTTGTTTCCTCCTTGAAGACCATAGTTGAACATTCAGAGATCAAAGATTTTTACGTCTGCATGTTGGCATAATGAACATCTATATGAAGAGTAGTATATTCATAAATTTCCATCTATTCTCTGTCATGTGCACCTGTTTGTACTCTCTCTCTATGGGTGGATATATGTAACTCACAGTGATATATAATACGTCTAAAGATATCTAAATTAAAAATTAAAGATTCATATGTATTATTAATTTTGTGTGCAATAGGGAAAATCTTACTACACTGTTTGGTAGTGGTGGTTTTTCAGATTTTGTGTTCTGTTATTTTTTTCTCTCCAGCTTCATTTGTTAATAATAGTTGAAGGCTTTCTTTTATATTGACTTAAAATAGATTAACACTTCCACTATAAAATTTTCTATCATGCCAGTAAGGACAGTGCACTCAAGTATTGCACACACAAATATGTACATATTTCCTGTTGACTTCACTGGGAAGTAAAGAAACTTAGACTTTCACACACTGTGTTTTATAACTGGACACTGGCAAACCATTTTGGTTGTAATTTTATGCAGGTTTTTTTGTTGTTGGGGGTTTTCAGGGTTGTTTTTTTGTTATTATTTTGGGTTTTTTTTTTTTTTTTAATGGAATCTGTCTGTGCTATGTTGTATTAAATGAATGGAGAGTTTCAGTTTTGTATTCTTTCTTTTAAACCCGCCACAGCTGAGAACAGAGTTCAGGCATATAAACTTGTCTTCTGGTATAGCTTTAAGGACAAGCTTTGAGGACGTTACATATCAGGAGCTCTCTTTTGTGAATCGGGTCTAGAAGTGAACTATTGACCATCTGTGGTCCATGAATATTTCTGAATGTTTTTCAGAAGTTTTACTGAGATTTAATTCAAGTTAGCTGTCTTATGGTGTGCTCTATACCCACACTTTACACTGGTGAGGCATGATCCCTGCTTGTCCTAATACACTTGGCATTTATAGACCCCTCTTCTTTATTCTTCATTTTTCTTGATGGCT